CTCCTGAGCTCAAACAATCCACCCTCCTCGGCCTCCCAGAGTGCTAGGATTACAGGTGTGAGCCACCATACCCGGCCTTAAAAGTGTTCTTAATTGTTGGATCATTTTTGTGATGGCAGCTTTAAAATTCTTGTCAGATAATTTCAACAACTGAGTTATCTCAGTATTGATACCTTAGTCTTTTTTCATTCAAGTTGTGATTTTCCTAGCTCTTAGTATGGTTTGAGACAAGATTTTTAAAAAAATTGTGTCCTGGACATTTTGAGTATGCTATTATGAGCTTCTAGATCCTATTTAAATATTCTACTTTAACTGGAAATCACTTTAGCATGCAGATCCTGGCCTGCTTTTGTGGGCTGTGGTTCTAGTAACAGCTGAGTTTCTGGAGCCCTTGCAGAATTATTCTGATCTACTTTGTTTTATTGCTACCTGGAGGCCACTCTGAAAACCTGGTATAGCACACTATGGTTCAGTTTTCAAATCTTTTGGCATATTAATTGTAAACAATTTCTCATGTGAGTTGGTCAGGGTTGTATACAGGCTTAAAGAATTATTTTCTCCAGGTTCCTTGACTTTTAGGTCGTTTCTGATAAGAAATGTGACATATTCTTGATTTTTCTTTATATAATATACCTTTTTTCTCTTCATGATTTTCTATTTGTGTCTATGTGCATATTGTTATTTTGTTGCTATTGTTTTGGTATGTGTGTTGCTTGATCTTTGAGCTTCTTGCATTTGTAGTTTGGTGTCTTTCATTATATTTGGCAAATTCTGGCCATTAATTCCTCAGCTATTTATTCTCTTTGCTTCTTCTTCTTCTTCATCTTCTTTCTCCTCCTTTTCCTCCTCCTCCTCCTCTTTTTCTTTCTTCTCCTTCTTCTCCCTCGTTCTTCTTTCTTCTTCTTCATTTCTATTACATGTAGGTTATGTTTTTTTCATATTGCCCCATAGTTCTAAGAGGCTCTTTTCTGTTGTAGTACTTTTATTTGTTTGTTTGTTTTTTAATTTTAGCATATTACAGGGGTAATGTTTAGGTTGCATATATTGCCTTTGCCCCGCCTGAGTCAGAGCTACAAGTGTGTCCATCCCCTAGACGGTGTGCACTGCACCCATTAATTAGGTGTGAATATACCTATCCTCTCTGCCCCTTTCCCACCTGCCTGACACCCGATGAATGTTACTACCATACGTGCACATAAGTATTGATCAGTTAGTACCAATTTGATGGTGAGTACATGTGGTGCTTGTTTTTCCATTCTTGTGATACTTCACTTAGTAGAATGGGCTCCAGCTCTATCCAGGATAATACAAGAGATGCTAGATCACCATGATTTTTTCTGGCTGAGTAGAACTCCATGGTATACATATACCACCACATTTTATTAATCTGCTCATGTATTGATGGGCACTTGGGTTGTTTCCACATCTTTTCAATTGTGAATTATGCTGCTATAAACATTCGAGTCCAGACATCTTTTTTATAGAATGTCTTTTTTCCTTTGGGTAGATGCCCAGTAATGATATTTCTGGATCAAATGGTAGTTCTACTTTTAGCTCTTTGAGGTATCGTATTACTTTCCACAGAGGTTGTACTAGTTTGCAGTCCCACCAACAGTGTATGAGTGTTCCTATCTCTCCACATCCATGTCAACATTTATTGTTTTGGGACTTTTTGATAAAAGCCATTCTCACTGGAGATAAGTGATATCTCATTGTGGTTTTGATTTGCATTTCCCTGATGATTAGAGATGCTGGGCATTTTTTCATATGTTTCTTGGGCATTAGTCTGTCTTCTTTTGAAAAGTTTCTGTTCATATCCTTTGCCCACTTTTTAATTGGGTTGTTTGATTTTTTTCTTGCTGATTTTCCTGAGTTCTATATAGATTCTAGTCATCGGCCCTTTATCGGATGTGTAGCATGTGAATATTTTTTCCCGTTCTGTAGGTGTCTGTTTGCTCTGGTGATAGTTTACTTGGCTGTGCAGAGCTTTTTAATTTGATCAGGTCCCATTTATTTTTGTTGTTGCTGTGATTGCCTTTGGGGTCTTCTTCATGAATTTTTTCCCTAGGCCAATGTCTATAAGAATTTTTCCAACATTTTCTTCTAGAATTCGAATAGTTTCATGCCTTAGGTTTAAGTCTGGTATCCACCATGAGTTGACTTTTGTGAGCAGTAAGAGGTGCAGATCCTGTTTCAGTCTTCTACATGTGGCTATCCAACTTTCCCAGCATTGTTTATTGAATAAGGATTCTTTTCCCCAGTGTATGTTTTTGTCTTCTTTGTCAAAGATTAGATGGCTATATGATGATGGTTTTATATCTCTGTTCTCAGTTCTGTTCCATTGGTCTATGTCTGTGTTCTTGTGCCAGTACCATGCTGTTTTAGTTACTATAGCCTTGTAGTATAGCTTGAAGTCCAGTAAATTGATGCCTCCCAATTTTTTTTTTTTTTTTGCTTAAGATTGCTTTTGCTATATAGGGTCTTCTCTGGTTTTATACGAAGCATAGATTTATTTTTTTCTAGATCTACAAAAAATGATTGTTCTGTTGTAGTTTTTTTTCCTTATTTTTCTCTCTGTATTTTAGATTGGATAATACCAATCCCATTTCAGATTCACTGATTCTTTCCTTAGCTGAGTCAAGTTATCTTTGTTACTGTAGTGTGGTTTTTTTGTATATATCTATCATTTCTGTTTTATTCTTTCTAAAGGAAAGAATTTCTGCTGAAATAATGTCTACTAAAATGCCCCATCTGTTCATGCATGTTCACTTTTTCTGCTAGATCCTTTAGCATATTAATCATATTATAGTTAGTTTAAATTCCATGCCTGATTACTCTAATATCTGGGTGATATAAGAATCTAAAGACCGAAGTAAGTTTATTTGTGCCTAGAAATGGCCGTGTCTTCTCTTCTGCTAGGTCTTTATTGTTTGGAGTTGTGTAAGTTTAGTCATTTGTTGAACATGGTTTGGGTTTTGTTGTTGCTTTGGCTGCCCTCAGTTCACCACCAATTTCATATTCCTTGAGAATTTCCTTGTCCTCAGGTTGGTTGCCAGATTTTTTTTTTTTTTTAATGTACCTATGTCACTCACAACTTAGGTTTTCCCTATTAGCCTGTGCCTCAGTGAGGTTCTCTCTCCACATTATTTGTCTCCCGGTGAAAGACTGCTGTTACTTGTCATGGTAGGGAGAAAGAGGATAGTCTCTGTTATTCTGATTTAGCTTTAGTGTTAGGCAGGCCCTTTGATTCTGTATCTGGTGGGTGGAGCTTTTTCAGTGATCCTTTCCCTTCCCCAGTGGCAGGGGTCCTCTAGTGGTCTGGGCTAGCAGTGGTTTCCTGACCCCCCTGCAGGGGTAAAGGTTTATTGTTTTATTGTTTTTTTCTGTTTACTTCCCCCAGCAGCAGTGGTTATTTACCTGTGTTCTGGGACAACAGTTTTGCTAACCTTTCTTCAGTGGTTTAATGCTTTCTTTTCTTTAAGGATAAAGATCTGGTTGGGGCTTCATGTCTCTCCTGCAGTGGGGGCTATTCATTTTTTACAGGATTGGATCTAGAGGAAGACTTTTTCTAATTCCTGCCCTTTCCCAGTAAGAGACAAAGAGACTGGGTACTCTTGTGAGCACCCACTGAGATCTCTAGAAAATATCTTGCAAACGCGTGTGATGCCTTTGTGTCCAAGCCTCCCAGGGTTTTTTATATTTTCATGGTAGCTCACCCTTGGCTTTTTGCAACTCATCAAAAAGTTTAGCTGAGATCTTCTTAACCAGTCTTTCTCCTGTGTGCTACCCTATGTCAGTCAGTGTTCATGATCCCCTCTCCTCTAAAGCACCTGGCTTTCCTTAGGTTTCAGGCTACTTGGTTGCCCACTGGCTTTAGCTCTAATGGATTCAAGAAAAATTAGGGTTTTATAAATTATCCAGCCTTTTCTGGTCATTAGGGTGAGAGTGATACTATTTCCAGCTCTCTACATCCTAAACAGAATCAGAAGTCTCCCTGAAAAAGATTTAAGTCCCTAAATTATACCCAGTATTATACCTAATATAGTTTTCTTAATACCTTAGAAGAGAGCATGCCAGATATTCTCTGTTGAATGATATTTATGTTAAAGAATTGGGTAGAATGCAAATGGTCCCTTTGCTTTCCTGTCATACTATAACTCTGTAAGTTTGAAAAGGAGAGAATTGCTAGCTGTTCATGCTCACAGAGAGATTGTTTATATTGTTTCTCCTGGTTTTACAGTATTAGGGAGGCAAAAGATGCCTTTCAGCCCTTGGAAAACATAAAGTTTATGTATATGCTATTGCATTCTTAAGTGATCCTTTTAAGGTCTGTGGGTTTAAAAAAAAAACTTTAATAGGGATTATTTCACAAACACATACAGATGTAGAGAAAGAGTTTACTGATTTCCCCACATATCTACTATCCTGCTTAAACAATTATCAAACCATCCTAATGTTTCATCTACCATTTATACCTCTTTCCCCATGGATTTTTTTGAAGCAAACTCAAGATGTAGCATCTTTTTATGTAGGTAACTATACCTACAGACAAAGGGTCTGAAGGCAAGGACATTTCCCACTGTTACTTGTAGACCTTTCTCTCTCCTTGAAAAGTAGAGTGTTGTGCTGCATTTAGTACATTGGAATTTGAGCAAACAACGCCTAATAAATGAACTTACATTAACAAATTAATTTTCATATTTTCATTGGGACTGTAGTTTATACCTATATATGCAAAGGATTAAGCAAAATAACTTGACTTTACTCTTCTGGTTATATTTTGAACTTTGTACATGTGTAAGAGTGCAGTGTTTTGACTCCATGTTATTATTTTTTTTAACTTTTTTTCTGAAATAATATTAGATTTACAGAAAATTATAAAAGTAGGACAGGGAGTTCACATATACCCATCACCCGTCTTCTGGATATTAGCAGCTTAACCATAGTACAATGATTGAAACCATGTAATTAACAGTGGTTATATGTTCTTATTTTAACAGCTGCTGAAATAGTTCAAGAAATTGAAAATATGGAGAAGACCAGGATGCGTCTTGAAGCTAGTAAACTCAATGAAAGTGTATGTTGGTGATCTATTTCAGTATCTGGGTAGAAATGAAGGAAAGAAAAGTTTAGTACTCTAATAAAATTAAAGCAAGCCGTTGTTAATTTGTGCAGTGGGAAATGGACTAGAACACATTTCCATTTAGTATATTATGATTTATTTGCAGCTCATTTTTAGAATGATATTTGATCATATTTAGTAGTCTTCTAGCACAAAGTGGAATCCAAAGCGGAGTTTGTTTATGAGCTACAGTCCTGTAGAAAAAGGCTATACCCGTGCATCAGGTAGCTTTGATATTGTTTTTTTCTATGCTGGTTGTATCTGATAAGCTACTTAATCTCTATGGTCTTTTGAGTCTTCATCTATAAAACTAAGGGGTTGAACTATATGACCTCTAAGATCCCCTTTTAGCTCTGGCATTCTGCAGTTCTATGCTTACACTTAAAGAGTAATAAGTAATTATGAGAGTTTATGAGGATTGACTGACTGTTCTGTGGAACTTTTGAGAGAATCAGAGACCTAAAATTCTTCACTGTTGCCTTCCTCTAGCTTGATGGCCCAAAACTTGAGGACAGGATACCAAAGAAGAAAATAGTCATTGTGTCCTATGACACTGGAGAAAGTGTTTTGGGCTCTCCTGAGTAGACTTTTTTTTTCTAGACCGTCGGTAATATGTTTGTGAGGAAAGCAACGACCTTAGGGAAGTAAGTTTACAACTAGATAGTAGAAAAAAATGGGATTTACATGACTCTATTATTACCTGTGTGCTGACTGTAAGATGGGTACTGGAATGAATTGGGTAAATACATTTCTGATCTTTTAAATATGAGATTTATAAAGTGGAACTAGAAATTTAACACACAGAGTCTTGTATTATTGCATTTTCTATATATATTGCTTTTTAGTATGACCTGGAGAAGTTACTTTGGAAAGGAAAGAAGGCAGATAAGAAAAGCTGAAAAGCAATGGAAGAAATCTTCCTTATTAATAATCAGTTAAATGTCTTCAGTCTTCTAGTTTCAAGTATTATCTTTTGCATGAATGAATGTGTAAAATTATATCTTGTTAATAGGAAATTTAATTGATCATTTTCTTAATACTTCATATATTATAATGGAATCAGTGTTGCATTTTCTACTGATGAGAAAAAAGCAATGTGTAATAAAATGAGTAAAATATATACTATTTATGGTATTCAAGGGAAGTACATAGGAGTTATTCTTCCTAGATTTAGATAAAACAGAGATAAGAGATTATTTTTCTCTGTTTTAAACACCCACATTTGAGATTTTAAAGTTTGTAATATTAATTTTCATTTTGACATTTTTGGGGGAATTTTTATTAAGTTTTTTTTTTATTATTTTAGGTAATGGTTTTTACTAAGGACCAAACAGAAAAGGAAATAGATGAAATTCACAGTAAATATCGTAAGTTGTGCAGCATTTTCTTTATTTGCAAAAAAATTGTGTTGTTGTTTTTCATCTTAAGTAATTTTTTTAAAAATTGTTTTATATTAATGTTTGACACAAACTTTTGTTAATATTACTTAAGAGATGGAATTTTAGTTGAGTGTTTACTCAGACAGTGACCTTTTTTTGTACTCTATGTGCCTGCTTTTTGATTTGTGACTAGCATTCTGCTTTGAACTTATCACTAAGCACTTTGCAAATATTAATTATTAATAGCCTGTTTCAAAGCATCTCTGTGAGAAGATGATGGGATAAAATAGAAACATTCCTGATTCTATCCTGTCCTCAGGCCTCTAAATAACAATACTTCTGTAAGGAATTTCAGCATTTCTATAAGAAGCTAGCAAATTTGTGCCAAAAATAGTTTTCATTTTATTATTTGTTACCAGCTTCACAACTTTATCACTTTCTTTTCCTTAAATGGTCTTTGTACATTATGTTTCCCAGGGCTAGCACATTACTGTTTCATCAGTTAGGTAGCTGTTATTCTTTGTTTGCTTGGTTGGTTGGTTTTTAGTTTAAATTTAAATGCCTGACAAACAGTAGTTAATAAATGTTTGTTAAATGAGAACTCCCAGTCATGATGTGTTTTAATTGTGCTAAGAGAATTTTTTTCTTTTTTCAGTTCTTAAATTTTGAAGGGGCATATTCAGCAGTAGTGCATTTTGAGGAGAAGGGTGCAGTACACGCGCACTAGACGTAGGTGTGGTGGCCTGTACCGTGCTAGAGTAGTAAAAGGAGCCTACACTATTCTTGGACCATAGGCTGAACAAGAAAAGTCACCGTTGTTCAGTTGTAGAAAGATAAGTATTATGTGAGCCTCTTTGATCAAACTTTTGGGAAGCCACAGTGATTTTTCTTTAGAGAAGAGATAGAAAAGAATATCATATGATCACTGAATTGGGAAAACTGAGGCCTGTAAAGTTAAAGAAACTAGAAAATTTGCATTGAAAGAAAGTAATTTAAATAACTAAGAGGATGGTATTTAACAATTATGCTATACTAGGAAAAATTTGTAGTAGACAGACTCTAGAAAATATACAAATTTCTATTGCCCACCATTTAAATATCTTAAAAAAAAAGTTTAGCTTTACTAAACAGGTGATGTTAAATTAATTCATTTATCCCTAAAATAAACCTCGCTGTTTACCATTTTTTCCCCCAAACCTTTCACCTGCTTCATAAAGCTTAAATGCTTAGCCTTACAGTTTAGCTGTATATTTTGAATTAATATCAGGCTCTAAAATACTATTGATATATCTCCTTTTAAACATTTTTATTAATGTTTTACATGCATGCAGTTTTTTAGAAAAATCACATATTTCTGTGGGGCTTATTATAAAAAAACAGCAGCCTCTCGCCTGCTCTACCAGCAGCCCGCCTCCGTTCCCTGGCAGCAACACCTTTTGGCTTTTCTTTTGGTAATTACCTTCCTATTTATAAAAAACTATTCTTTCTGCTAGTTCTTGAAGTTTTTCAGTTTTACATGTTTACTATTGATGTAAATGAAGATTTAGCTTTTTTATAAATCCTGATCTTTACCACTGCTTTCTTCCCATCCTCTGAATGTTTTGTCATGATTTTTGATAAGACCCATTAGATACATTGTTTACAGCTTGAGCCAGACAATATTCTGTCTATGACAATACTATGGTTATAATTCCTTTCAGGGAGACATTCTGTTTTTCTTATAATTAATAATTCTTTTCTATTTGTTTAGTTTTCTATTTACCTAGTACTGTTACAGCAAGTGGTCCCAGGGACAAACTGAGCAGCACAGGGAGAGCCGGAGAATCAAAGTCGGGCTCAGAGGGGCCTCGCCACCAAATTCTGAGCCCTGTCTACCCTATTTTTCCCACCTTTATTAAGTTGTGGTGGTCTGGGGGGGGTAGGGTGTCAGGTGGTTAATGCCCACCAGGTAATAGGTTAGTTGATGTGTCAGATGATAGATTTAGAGTTATGCTGATGCGCCAGGTAATAGATTAGTTGATGGGCCAGGTAACAGGTTAGTATTATGCTGATGTGGGTCTTCCTTGAGGGGTGGGGGTCTCAGGTGGCTGATGTGCCAAGTAACAGATGGGGGTTTTCCTTATCAGTACTAACATATCTGTGAACCTTTCACCAGAACTATAAATCGCTTTCTAATACATTTACACAAATAGATTATCTATCAACTTCATTATTTTCTCAGGAACATCTTGCCTACAGCCACCCCGACCCCTGTTGTCCTGTTCCAGTCTCCTCTGGCGCTCTTTGGGCTCCTACATGGCTGCCATCCCAGAACGTCCTGTCACCAGCCTTCTGGGGATTCTGCTCTCCTCCCTTCTCTGTCAGTTCACTTATTCCGGGATCTAAATCTGCCTCTTCTCTTTCCTTGTTTTGATGGAATCCATTTCCAGGAAACTCCCTGAGAAAGGGTATGTGGAAGAATATTTTTCGAGACCATACATAACTGGAAATAATACCTTTATTATTGATTGGTGATTTGGCTGGTTGTGGAACTTAAGGTTGAAAGATTTTTCTCTCTGAATTTCAAAGGTATTCTTTGGAAGATATTTCATTGGCTCCTACCTTCCAGCACTGGTGTTAATAACAAGCTTGCCATTCTGATTCTTTATCCTTCATGTGTTAACTTTTTTCCTTTCCTGACCTGCCTGTGTTCAGTTCGTCATCAAGTTCTGTCAGTCTCTGAAGTATCTCTTGATTCCATACACTTCCTATTCTTACGTCTGCCACTGTCCTAGTCACATCTGTTTTCTAACTAGTCATTCCCCCTCTACTCTTGCCCCTCCCCAATCCATTAATACCCAGAACTCAAAACTGTCTCCTCAAATTGGTAAGTCTTCAGATCATACTTTTCCTGCCTTCTGCCCTCCTGCCATTATCAAAAACTCTTCAGTGTCTTTCTGTTACTAAGATAGAGTTTATAAAGTCTGTTATTCCCTACTTCTAGTCCTGCCTACCCCTGTAGCCTGGCCTGTTCTCTTCCCCTTACCTCTTGTATTCCACCCACTCTGGTTATCTTTTATCTCCTTTATCAGGTGTTTTGCTGCTTTAGGGCATTTGATACTGTCTTCTCTCCTTCTCTGGAATTGTCCCTTTCTCTTAATTGCCTCTGGGCCCCATCTATACTCCCAGTGCTTAATCAGCTTAATTGCAGTTTTCTTGGGAAGCCCTCTGTAATATCCCAGAAAACATAAGGTTTTCTTTTTACATGTACTTACATCATCTTGTTTTTTTTCTTAGTACTGTTCCATTTGTTCAGTCAATACAAATTTTTTGAATATTTATTAATAATATGTACGAGACTATGGTGGGGATATAGGAAGGAACAAGACAGACAAAAAGCCCACCCTTTTGGAGTTTATATCCCATTAGTATTTTAGAAAGTGGTAAGTGAAAACATAAAGCAAGGAAGGATATGAGAAAGTTTAAGTTTTGAATAGGATGGCAACAATCTGTTAATTGTACAGTTAAGTAATTTCTTATTATTTCTAATTAATTTGTAATTATGTGTTTGTGTCAGTGTGCTAGGATTACCATAACAAAGTACTGCAGACTGCATGGCTTAAATAACAGAAATTTATCATCTCATTGTTCTAGAGGATAGAAGTCCCAAATTATGGAGTCAGCAGGGTTGGGTCTGTCCGAGGGCTATGAGGGAAGGATCTGTCCCCTGGCCTTTCTCATGGCTTGTAGATGGACATCTCACTGTGTCTCTTCACATCATCATCCCTCTCTGCATGTCTCTGGGTCCACATATCCACTTTTTATAAATATGTCAGTCATATTGGATTAGGGCTCACCCTAATGACTTTATTTTAACCTGATTACCTCTGCAAAGACTCTATTTCCAAATAAGGCTAAATTCTGAGGTGCTGAGGCTTAAGACTTCAACACATGAATTTGGGGGAGATACAGGAAACACTTATAACAGCATTTAAGTATGCTTTCTTCCCTTATGAAACTGAAAGCCCTACAGTGAAGGAGAAGTTTCTGTCTTACTCACTGCTTGATAAAGCAGTGTCTGTGTGCAAGTGAGGTCTTGCGCATAGTTAGGACTCAATCCGTTTTGACCAAGTAAATGAATAGAGGAGGATGGGAGAGTCACCATACGTTGTGGTTTTTTTTTTTTAATATTTAAATTTTATTTAAGGAAGCTTTGTCTACCTCAACTCTTCTGACTTGCGCAGACGTTTCTTCTACTCATTTCTGTTTTGTCACTTTTTAAAAGAAAAGACAGGAAGGCAGAAAATCACAACTGTGAAATATATATTCTGTACTAGGGAATGTTATTCTCATGTAATTTTAAGAATCCTCTCAGCAACTCTATGAAAGAAACCGAGACTCAGAAACATTAAGTAAATTGCCCGTGCAGCTAGTAAGAAGCACAGCTGCAGAAGAGACGCAGGTTCACCAGATACTCCAGTCCAAAGCCTTTGGCAGCATTGTACCATGTTTTGCATCTGAGTGAACAGCTTATGTCAGGAAGTTCTTTTTTGGGGAGTAAGCTTTAGCCTCAGGTTATAGTGTTTTTAAAAAAGCTTAATTTTATGAATTGGCTATTGTGGTAGTTTTGTGATGATACATCTTTTTTATTTTCTCTAGCAATCTTTTACATTTATATTCATGGGTTTCTCTTTCAGTAAAGGAAAGAAACAGTGATAGCAGTCAATTTGAACTTTAGTTGCCTATCTGTGGTTGGTGTATCTGATCCAAAGGTTGAATCAAATGAGTTTGAGTTACCTATGGGTTTCAGATATGAAATGCTTTTGGTAAGTCTTCTTAATTAAGGCTGCGAATTGCTACAGTGAGAGGCAGAATCTTAGCCTGATGGAAAGTTACTCTACTGGCCAACTGCCACGACAGACGTATTTTCGGATCTTCATGCTCTTTACCTTGGTAAAATAGAGTTTTATACTCTGCCAGAAAAAAAAACTTCAATGAGTACTCCAGTT